AAAGGGAGTTTGAATTTGGATTTTTCTTTTTTTCCAATTTTGATTCCGTAAAGATAACAACTGTTATGTCACAATCTCGATTGTTATAGATGCAAGGGATTATGATAATCATTTAGCGTAATACGGAGTACTATTATTTATAAATCATAGAAAATACAAAAATGTTAATAATTATATATAATATTATAAATTTATAATATGATATATTATTATATTATTGATATTTCTACTTAAAAGTGTATTTATTATATTTTATGTATTTATTTATTTAACGATGTGTCAAATTCATTTAATTATACATCATGATTGTAATTTTATAATTTCATGTGATATTATAATTATATATAGTATTGTCATTCTTTTTTACCTTTATTCTAAAAAATGATGTCAATGATTTAAATAATTTAATAATAATTTATTTCAAGTAAAAATAAGAGATCTTACATTTAAGTTGTATGCTATATAAATAATATGGATTAAGAGATAAAAAGATATTTTTTATTTTGTAATCTAAAATTAAACATATGTTAAATAAATTAACTTATTTAAGTACTCAGTAGTGTGATTAATTAGAAATAAAAAAAATAATACTAGGCCTATTAAATTAAATGGAGGGAGTAATTCATGAACCATGTTACGCTAAATAATTATCACGATCCTTACACTTAAAACATTCGATATATATATATATATTTTTTTTGGTATGGATCACCCGATATTTAGAAGTTCATTAGGTTATCGATTAATTCGGATTCGAGCCGACAGCACTCAATGGGCGGCAAAACTCTATCTCACGAGTTTTAACGAAACTGTATTTCCAAAACTTAAGATCAAGACCTTTGATTAAACTGAAAAAGTTTCCTATCAACTCATCTACCCGTTCATGGGTAAAACATTCGATATTTTGACACAACACTTGTTATCTTTACCTTAATGAAAATTTAGGGGAAAAAAAATCCAAATTCAAAGCCCCTTTTATGCATGATATCATGTCCAGCGTGATGATAGCATAATAAAGATGTAACGTTGATTAGTAGAGAAAGAAATATTATATTGAGTATACCCAATTTAAAACTTTTAAAAAAGATTGTGTTTTTGTTTATATAAGATCTCAAAGTTTAACAGATTAAAAGTTCTTCAGTCATTAATCACGCACGGTGACGTGAGATCCACACAATTCAATGGAGTAAACAATTTGGCGTGCATTCCGCTCTACGACATTGGACCCTGCAAAGCAATTAATTAAGTTCTCATGTGTTCACAATTGAAAATTAAATCATAAAGTGAAAACGTAACCAACATATATAAAATTAGTCAATTGTCAGTGAGGAATTGAGGATGGTAGTCAACTTGGGACGCACTGAGTTCTTTGGAGAATCCATATTCAACCGTTCCACACTCAATATTTTGATTATTTGGGGTGGAGTACTCATTCCAACTAGAGGGGTCCTTATACATTATTTCTTTCGTATGGTAAAATATATTAAGGGATAAGAGAAAATTATTTTTTATTTTATTATTTTTTTAACAATTTAATTATCTACTCTAGTTCCTATGATATATACACATGAGAAATAAGCCAATAATTATGAAGATGTACACATATTTTGACAAAAATTTTAGTCTAAGATATAAAATGCGATCATGCTAGCTAGGTTTGATTTGAGCCGGATTGAATCAAATCATTGGAGCAAAAAATTATTAAGCACTTTTTCAAATTATTCTTTAAGAGTACTGGTTAAATATATAATAAATATATTTTTTGTTTTAAAATTATTTAAAAAATAAACATTGACTTTATTTTTATAAATTAATTAATCAAAATTATGCACATAATATTAATATTAAAATTAATTTGAAAATTTATGTTTTACTATACAAATATAACTTAATGATAAAAAAGTACCTATATTCGGCCCAAAAAACCCAAGAAGTATAACATTGCATCATGCCTAGTTTCGTTGTTGGTTTCTAATGGCTGTAGCCTGCCCTGCATTTGTGTATGTGCATATTCGTGGGCTTAATTTGGACTTCTTTGGGCCTGAGGGTCGCCATTTAGTTTACCACTACTAGTACAGTGACTAGTAAGCCACTCAACTCAAGAGAGTAGAGACCTGAGGCCAACAGAGTACAATTATGATCTTAAGAAAATAGTAAACTGTAAATGTTCATTCCAAGTGTAGTTGGGAGGGTGGGCATCGGTACGGTATCAAACCATATTGGATTGGTTTTATATTGAACCGATTTATACTTGTTATGGTTATGATTATTATTAAAATTATTAAATTTTTATTTATTATTTAATATTTTAAAATTAAACTAACTTTTTGAACCAATTGATTCACTAATCAAGTCTAAATGCATGGGTTTCAATAGGTTAAAAGTTCTATTGTCATTTATTATTTGAAAAAAAAATTCACCATCCCTAAATTTTCAATGTTAAAAAAAAAATTTATATTTGAAAATTAATTTATAAATAAATGTTTTTAAATATCATAAATAATTATTTAAGAAACTTATAAAGTAATGAAATTATAATTAAAAATAATAATACCTGTAAAATCTTCAATGGTAATAATCTCAACCGTACCCCATCCGTAGTGTCATGGGTTGAGGGACACTAGTGCAGCACAGCTTTTCATTTCCCGCACAAGATGTCCTTCCGTTCTTCTTTACCATGTACTGAATCCCCCGAGTGCAGTGTCTGTTCTGCTCTACCATCTGCTCCATGTATGCATGGTAGAAGGCAATGTGCTGCTAATTAATGCTTCATCTTTGAATGGCAGCATTGGGTTGCCCCCTATACAGAACAATTCACTTACCCTTTTCTGATTAAAACATTAAAAACATATAATTCACGTCAAGATAATGAAATTTATAAAATGTTATCTTTTTATTAACTTTAAAAAAAAATTTAACCTTATAAAGTATTTCTTTAGTACCCCCTGCTTAATAGGATCTCATCATCCTTTCGTACAGCGAATTTTTTGAACTATAAGTAAACTTTTATCTATCAACAAACGAGCCAAACGCTAAAATTATGTTTTTTTAGTTGGCCAAAACTGCCTAGGTTTTTTAGAAGGACTTTCTATAGAGTGTTTTGTTTTATAATTTAAATTATATTAAATTATATTTAACTTATAAAATAAAAATTATTAAATAAGAGAAGCACGTTCAATATTAAGGGTTTTACATCACATTCAATGGTTATGGTTGTGGACAGGGGCGGAGCAAAAAATTTTAGCCAGGGAAGATCGACTTTTCAAGTCTTAAATAATGTATTGTAATTTTGAAATTTTACTTTCATATCATATATTAAAATAATATTTGACGAGTCTTCATATCACAAAATCTATTTATAATATTATCTACACTAAATGATTAAACTATTTCATTTTCAATATAAACAATCAAAGAGTTTTAGAGAGATTCATCTTTCATTTTGTTGTGAAATCTCATTTTGTTGTGAAATCTCATTTTCACAATTTTTATGGTAGAAAATATTTTTTATGTTATTACTATAGAAATTAGAAGACTAAATATCAAAGTAATTTACTTGTAAATGAGACTATAAACCTCTGATTTTCTTATTTCCATGAGCCATTGACATATTTCAGAAATATGGCAACATCCTATCTCTTCACCATACCACTTTTTACAAGCAAACAAATTTTTTTCCCTTTTTACAAGCTAATTACACTTTATATGAGTTTATCTTTTTTTTTTTATACTAATTTATATTCCTATTGCTTTTCTCTATATGACTATTTCCAAGGTTTTTTCTTTTATTTGATTCATATATGTTCCCTTTATGTATTTGTACTTTCTTTTCTTTTTTTTTCAATTTTTTTACTTTGATCCAATTCTATTCCATATAACTTCAATATTACTATAATATTCAATTTTATTTGTAATCTCAATAACTCTAAATCCTAAAAGGAAATTATACAATTTTTTATGATAATAAAAAATTAATAAGTTTCATTACTTAAATATTACTCCCTCCATACTAAAATAATAATTTTTTTTGTTTTATCTTCAAATGAAAGATTTGAAAACAATTTTATTTTTACTTATTTTATACTTAAAAAATAATTAAAAATAAATATCTACTTCCATCAGAAAATAAATAATTAAAGTTAAAAGATAATTATATGGTTAAAGTAGAAAAAAACTATTCATCTTCCGCAAAATAAAAAAAA